TAACTTTATCTTTATCAACACAATTGATCAAATAATGGGCTTTCCTCCTGTAGCTGCACAAACTTTTGAAATTAATATTGCTCCCTGCGGTCATAAGATTTCCTAGTGACATGCTTATAATTGGTTCCTAATCATGAATAATTTCCATATAAACTTTTGCTTCTGTTCTTTTTCTCACTAACAAATCTTGACAGGTGGGACGAGGACACTTGCATCAATAATGGTCATTGTTACAGTGATCAATTCTGAATAGACAGTAAGAAAATGCCAAGAAAATTAGGCAACATATCACTGTATTTAAGAACATCATGGTAGTCAGATTCTCAATAATAGAAGGTCACATGAATGCATTAAAAACAACAAGATCAATTTGGCAATTAGCTATGAAACTAATATCAGTCGACTATGACTTGATACAATACATTGACAGACCTAGAAAAACAGGTGCGGGAAGTGTGTGAAGAAATTAAGGATCAGGGCTCAGCACAGCACATTTAATTTTTTTTCCTCCCAAATCATAAATGAACTCTGTAGCTCCAAGTAATGGCATACTTGTTGGATTTATCCCATATCGTTTCGACTTAGTTATACGTGTGACCTCACCCTTGAGTTAGCGTTTGAGGTGGAAAGGCCCAATAACACCTAATACTCCTATCAGAGTTCAATTACAACAACTTCTTCTCCCGATAAAGAGTCCAATAACTCCTTCCAATTAAGATCCAAGTGTAAATAATCCACAATTCACAAAGGAAAAATGTGCAAAAATGAAGAATGTATAGAGAGGTATATGTTTTCATACACATACAATTTAATGACGACACTCATAACGTTCGATGCTGATAGCCGATAGGTGACATGAATTTCTACAAGATGGCATACTTTGGCAAAATGAAATAGACATGACAAGAGGAGTATCTGGCACTCCTAAGACCGAAAAGGAAGAAAAGATTGGAATAAAGGTGATCAGAGAGCACATGGAGATTCCAAGCATATGAAAGCTGGTTCATATTTTGGGAGAAGAAAAAAGAACTAATTCAATTACATGCGAGAGGAAATGAGCACAGTTTATAAAAGCTGATTCATCTCTTGGCCATCCTTGTAAAGCATTCTCTCTTTTAAGTACTGATTCAGAACATATAGTTGATGTAACCTTGTACTCGACCCAGTTCAGAAAAGTGCAACAAGGCCATCAGATAAACACATGAATTTCTTTTATTCTTCAGAAAGATGGGGCTACTGCCCTCCCTGCTGTGATTTTGCTTCTCACTGCCGTGATTTTGCTTCTTACATATTTTGCCTTTCTCAGCTTTTGATCACCTCTACTATGTATTAATCTGTGTTGCCAAAGAGAACCGGAATAAAGAATCTCTCCCCTCCCAGTGCTTTACCATGCTCTGATAACATTTGTTAGTCAATTAGTTGAACGAACTTTCTGTCCCTTTCTCTTCGAACATATGTGTAGCAATTGGAGTAGATCTTAATTTCAGTATGAAATATGCCTTAACAGGTTCTCTTATTTAGACCTAGGGGAGGTGAAAGAAGAGGGTGTTTTCTGTGGACTTGGAGGCCTCTTTGACCTTGAGTTCCAAGGGTAAAATTATCTGTCCCTCGACTAAAGATTGGTTCTTTCGAACATCAAACATCTATATGAACCTTCGACGCTTCTCAAAAATCAAAGTAGAAGAAGAAGAAGAAATTCGCACCTATAAGTTAGCAGCTACCCGAGTAGAATTTTTTTCTTTTCACCGCAGATATATAAAATCTTACTGGATCATTCCTGATTTACTAAGTTTTCTTTAGTTGCTGAGTGGAGCTAATCCGATGGACATCTTGATCACTTGATCAACATAACTTCAAGTTTATTTAGCAAATCAACCATGTTAGAAATTGGGAAAAGTTGACCAGGCAACTTGTGGAGCTCACAATTATTTGAAACTTTCCATTTGGATACAATAGATCCTGTAAACTTGTAGTCAACTTAGAATGGCATGAATCGTCCCCATTTAGGACAGGAATATGAATTTTTTTGGAGTATATCCCATTCGCAAACCACGTAGCTTTCTGAACCTGTTCCCTTTAACTTGTTTTCAAAGAATTGTTTGCAGCCTTATTGTACCAGTACTTTGAGATCAGACTGATTGCAGATGAAGGCCGGTACAAATGTAAAACTGTTTTGACTTTAATTTACCATACTCCCATAATCTTTCCCCTTCCATAACAAATTAACTACAATCTGCATTACTAACCAGGGGGTTGCTTTTTTTTTTTTTAAGAAAGAAAAAAAAGGCCTTACCGAGGGCCATTGCTGTACTGTGTATTTACTACGTCTAAGGAATCTCTCTCAACTCATGATGCTCTTGGTAGGTTTATATGCTGTACAGAGTCTCGCCGAAAGAAAGTTAAAACCCAAACCAGTAAAAGGTGCCATTCTCCTATTGAATCATTTTTTTTTCTTAATATTTTTTTATCCATCGTTTTCGCCTGTCAGTTGCTATGGTTTAAAAAAGGCCCAAGAGCTGAGCTGCAAGTCCATGCAAAGACACTGATCTACCAAGTCACGCAGCACAGCCAAACACATTTGATTTGCCTGCTAATGTCTATGTTGTCATCCAAAAGATTAACATGGGATGGGAGATTAAAGTCCCTCTTGAATGTATCCACATTGTATTCTACCATCCATAAGAACTGAAGACATAAGCAGGGTTTATTTTCGAGAGCAGATCCTCTGTCCAATATTTTGTGTCCAATTTCCTGTCTAATGTGAAACTACGTAGTTTCACTTATTATATTTGCTGATATGACAACTAAAAATAGGTGGCTGTTTGGCTGCCTTATACTTCTTTTTCTTTCTTCTTTTTTGAGTTTCCTTTGTTTACACAACTTTATTACAATTCTCATCTTTTTTAAAACAAAGTATCAAGGATTTCAAATACAAAAGAATATTTAAAAAAGATGGGAATTGTAACAAAGTTGTGTAAACAAAGAAAACTCAAAAAAGAAGAAAGAAAAAGAAGTATAAGACAGCCAAACAGCCACCTATTTTTAGTTGCCATATCAGCAGATATAATAAGTAAAACTACGTAGTTTCACATTGGACAGGAAATTGGACACAAAATATTGGACAAAGGATCTGCTCTCTTTATTTTCTCCTCCTCATCCTCCTCAATTTTATGAGTATGCAAGTCTAGACCTCCAGGACAGTTGACAAAAAGAACCTAAAACTACTCCCTACCGCAGCTCTCTATTGCAGATCAGTAATGCCATGCAAAACTTTGCATTCTATTGCATAATAATGCAAAGAATGCTCATTAAATTAGAAAAACTTTGGAATAGATTGCCAACTGAACTCAACTCAAAGCATTTTTTTCCAAGAATCAGACCTAGACAAAAATTTTTGCTAACAAATGGTATCAAGGTAAAAAGCAGATAAATTTCAAGGCCAAGACTTCAAGAGAAACCCTTTTTTAACCTATATCTATTCCTTTTAAGGTAAGGCAAAGGGTTGGATTGGACGGTAATGTGGGGGAAATTCTTACCTATAAAAAAAAAGGAGAGGAATGAGATTTAAGGGGCGGAGAAGGGGAAGGAGATTAGAACTTAGAATCTTTAAATCTTGAAATTTTAACCTTCATCACCAGATCAAAGTCTTGCTTTTTAAAACAAATGTTGATAATTATTCAAACAAAACACGTTTGTGACATGAAAACTGTCATGATACCGCTTGCCTGCAGATTGGGCTTGTTGTCCTTAGTTCGGCCTATTATTACCACTTGGAGTCCTCATTCAGCCAAGAGACCAGACGCTACCATACACTAAAAACAGGCCTCTGTCAGACATGGACCGGCCGAATGAAATAGAGCACCACGAAAAAGGAAAAACAGCCGAGTTAACGCATCATATGAATGAATGAATTAGGTATTTTTGAAAATTTTAATTATAGGGATAAATATAATTAACTTTTATTGTAGATAATTAAGTGTTCTTAAGATGTTTTTGAGGGTGTTTTCGATGATTGATTTGTTTTAAAAACAACCAAAGGATGTTTGTTTGTTGATCATCTTCCACATTGCATGAATAAAATTTCATGCTATTTTACTTGACCGCCTTCCTCATGTGAAATGTAATTCATCTTGAAAAAAAAAAATCAAACTCTTAATAAAATATTTTTCTACATTTAAGACTTGGCCCCTACCCAAGAATCCGGACTCCAGCATTGGTATTGCTTTATCCGGGGCTATGTTTGGTTTTCTACATTTTGCGCTCATGTGAAATCTTAAGAACTCTCCTTTCCTTGTTTCCAAGATGACACTACTATTATTCTCTTTGTCCAAAATAAGGATGGACACACATAAAATTTAGAGATAAGGAGATGTAATAATGATAGATCATAAGCGGATTAGTACTTAATTAATATCTTTTGAGTTTTTCTAACCCGTGCCCTACAAATACCCGTTAATACACATAATATTCACCTAAATTATCATATATATATATATACACATACTAATAATTATGATCATTTTTTATATTTATATATATTTTTTATTTAATTTTACCTACCATTCCTTGTATTTATTTACTTCCCTTAATTAATATTATATTTTAAAAAATATAACATATAAAATATATTTTAACGGACACTCGATGGACAGACCGATATTTTTTACTTTCAAACTCATATTTTCTAACTTTCCTATTTTCCCAAACCTAATATTATCGAGTAAATGTCTTAGGTAACTTTAGTAAATGAATGTTTCTAGTACTCCAACAAATCACTTAAAATGCTTCAATAAAAAAATAATCACTTAAAAAAAAAAGTTAGAAAGGAGAAGTGGAACCCGGGCTACTAATTAGTAATTAGAGACCAATAAGTCAAGATTAATCAGAGCCGGTCAATGGCGGGTCGGGGAAAGAATTCAAGTCGGTCAAAACCGGCAGCACCGGAAACTGACCCGTTGGCCACGTATAAAAGGCTAAAGAGGCGGGAAGAGTTTCCTTAAAAACCCTACCTTTCAGGAGTCACTCAGCAGAGGATTTCTCCCAATTTTCATCCCAATTTCTGGCACACATGGGCATAAAGGTTGTATGTCGATCTAATTTCTGTCAATGTATTCTGCGAATTGATTTCTTAATTTTGCTTCATAACTTTCTGTTTCCTAATTTTTCCTTTGAATTGTTTGCTTAGGGTTTAACGAAGCTTTTAGCGGATAATGCTCCGAAGGCGATGAAAGAGCATAAATTCGAAAGCTTCTTCGGCCGAAAAATCGCCATTGACGCCAGCATGAGCATTTATCAGTTCCTTGTTCGTACACTAGCTACCCCCATTTTTGTTGTTTCTTGGTCTGTGGATATATATGCATTTGGCTAAGCTTAAAGCCTTAAACTTGCCGTGTAATTAATGAAACTGTAGATTGTCGTTGGGCGAAGCGGCACTGAAATGCTTACTAATGAAGCTGGAGAAGTTACTAGGTAACTCACATTTTACATTTTTTTGGGACAATAATGTGCCGAAAACAGAAAATTAGCAAATTAGCAAAATATGCAGAGAGAGGTCTTTGGAAAAAAAATTTTTTTTTCTGTCGTTCATGCTAAATATTTGTTGAATTTTACTCTTAAACAAAAGTTTACCAGTCTTTGGTAGTTATAACTGTTTGTTGATGTGGTTTTGCGTTCTGTGTTTTAAGTCATTTGGTAGGAATGTTCACGCGGACAATTAGGCTTTTGGAAGCTGGAATTAAGCCAGTGTAATTTGTTAATCTTCTCCTTACTGATTTTTGTGTTTCTTTTGTTTTATTTGGTCAGAAGTTTATTACATATGCTAAAACTTGTTATTGCCTTCAAATTTTAGCTATGTGTTCGATGGTAAGCCACCAGATTTGAAGAAACAAGAGCTTGCTAAACGGTATATTGTATTATACTGTTATTCATGTTGCTTGTGAAGTTTTTTTTTTTTTGAATGAATGCTCCCTCCCGGAAATCAAAATTTGTGACTCTGATATGGATATGCAGTTTTTCTAAGAGGGCAGATGCAACGGAGGATCTAGATGAGGCTGTGGAGGTTAACATAACAGAACTATAATTTTGCCTCCAATCACCCTGCCAAAGAAAAAAGAAAAAAATTCTTGACTTTTATACTTTGCCCTTTTCATAGCATCATTCTAGTATCTTGTCGTTTTAAGAGCTGAATTCTCCCCCACAATTTCTTCTTGCAGACTGGCAACAAGGAAGACATTGAGAAATTCAGTAAGAGGACAGTAAAGGTGGGCTATTAACATTTTATGGTTGTTATATGGTGTAGAACGGTGTTGTCAATCTGTACTTATTTGGTCTTTGATCATTCTGCTGTTTATGAAAGTTTCCAACCCTTTTCTCTGGCAGCCTATAGCAGAGATAGTAATAAACAAAAGAAAAAAAGGAAGATTAAATACAGAAATCATTCTTCAGTTTCACAATTCAATGCATTTGTTAGAAAATGCCAAGCTTTAGATGAGGTTGTAGTCACTGTTGAATCCAGGGAATGAAATATTGATTTATTGGGTTCAATAGCCGAAGTTCAATTTGCATAGATTAATTGTTTTTGAAAATCCCAATGAGTAATAAATGCATAAAGCCCTTCCACCATACTGTTCACTGTTGAGATTAGACAGGTTGTCACAGAGGAAAGTGTATACACTTCTGATAATATAAATTGCGAGTGTACAACAGTATTGTGTACCTACAGAAACTATTGAAGTTAGAAGCTCCTGTACACAATTCTCAGAGTTAAATCGATATTCAGTATCAATAAGAGCTAACCAATTCTTCAATTAGGTGCTTATGCATCTATTTTTAGGGTTAACAGATGATATTTGTAATTGCTGATATTCTTGTCCTTTCTTTTAAAACAAGAAGATCTAAACTCCTTGAAGTATATAGTTAAGCATGTTATCAGTTTCATGTTGATTTTGGTTGTGTAGGTTACAAAACAACATAATGAGGACTGCAGGAAACTCCTTAGACTTATGGGAGTACCTGTGATTGAGGTGAGCCAGTGAAACAAAATATTTCTTCTCTAAATTGATGCCTGCCAGTTGCATATATGTGCTGACTTTTCTCCTAAGAGCACGACAAGTTATATCTTTGACTATAGTGCCTTCCACTCTGTTGTTATGTCAGGCCACTTCAGAAGCAGAGGCACAATGTGCTGCACTTTGCAAATCAGGAAAGGCAAGTATCTTGGTCTTAATGGTGGTCTCACAGCTTGCACCAACATAAAATCTTTGGGAGTTAGTTTTCTTTGATTGTGTCCTTCCAATATATCCATTTGTATATTGCTTCCTTCGAATATATCCATGTGAACACCTTACATGGAAATGATTAGAAGGAACAAGGAATTAATGCTCCCTTTGTTATGAGATTGGAAAGATCATACATCTGTGAATGTCAGGTTTATGCTGTGGCCTCTGAAGACATGGATTCCTTAACTTTTGGAGCTCCAAAGTTTCTTCGACATCTAATGGACCCTAGCTCCAAAAAAATCCCTGTGATGGAATTTGAAATTTCCAAGGTATCAGAATCCCGCTTTACAAATTTTCAACATTGAGACATCAACTGATGTACTTCTCTACAGGTTTTGGAGGAGTTGAACTTTACCATGGATCAATTTATAGACTTGTGCATTCTTTGTGGATGTGATTATTGTGACAGTATTAGAGGTAATGCACATTTCACTGATACCATCATTGTCAGGCTTCACACATCTCATTGATACCATCATTGTCAGGCTTCTTAGAATTTTTAAATTAAAATCTGGGTTTCTTCTGTTTGTTTTGAAAAACACATCAGAAAGGAAAGCTTAACATACTTCAGACAAAGAATTTTTGCTGGAAACATGAATTCATGAATGTGACTGGGAGGTTTTGACCTAATGAATGTTTTGACATCACAACTTGCACCTCTAATTCATGTATCTTGACATGAATGTGACTGGGAAGTGTTTGCTGGAAACATATGCATGTAGGAAGATGGATATTTTCTGGTTTGCGCACTCTAATCTTTCTCTTGCTGTAGTAACATCAGTTTTAAAATGCTTTTGTTGTTGCCAAACTATGGAAAATCCATACTGTGGGAAATGGGCATATCTTTCCTAGAATTTGTCTTAGTTTAAAGGGAAATGTGCACAAGAATTCAACTGAGAAGTTTGTAGATTTTTGTTTAGCTTTCTTTTTCTTCATCTTTCTTTTCAATAATTTCACATGGATATCTAATATATGAGCATGTTGTGTGCATCCCTGGGCTATCTAGGAGCAAAATTGCATACTTATATTGGGCTGATTTTCAATGCATCAGGTATTGGTGGCCAGACAGCCTTAAAGCTCATTCGCCAACATGGCTCAATAGAGAGCGTAATCGAGAACATAAACAGAGAAAGGTACATATTTATATTGTCACTTGAAACTTGTCAAATTGTGGTTTCAGGAAAAGCGGAAAGCCAGGAGAATATGTTATCTAGATTTTGGATCTTAAGATATAGTTCTCATTTCCTAGATCTCAAAGTTTGATGTTCTTCATTTGCATCATGTTCCTTAGTTGACTGCCTTTCACTTCTTCCTGCATTCAATTTACAAGCGGTTGCATTTGACTTTGCATATGCACTTGAAGTTCAATTTCACCTGTTATGTTTCAGATACCAAATCCCAGATGATTGGCCATATCAAGAAGCTAGGAAGCTCTTCAAAGAACCAGAAGTTGTCACAGATGAAAACCAACTTGATTTCAAGTGGAATGCTCCAGATGAAGAAGTGATTTACTTCAATTAACAATTATAGATTGGTCATTATTGTCGTATATATCTATTTATTGATCAGCTTAGGGATTATCTTTGGTTTCAGGGACTTATAAACTTTTTGGTAAAAGAAAATGGGTTCAGCATCGACAGAGTTACAAAGGTATGCTTATGATGAGAATTTGGTTGCTTATGTTTGAATTCAGTCTTCAGAATTTGTGTACATTACAAACTCAAATGTTGATTTATTCAGTCAATAGAAAAGATCAAGGCAGCAAAGAACAAGTCTTCGCAGGGGAGGTATGGAACTGACTGACTGATTGGTGATATTGTTGCTTTAGTGAAATCATGACTCATTATTGTCTTTCTTGAGCAGATTAGAATCATTCTTCAAACCAGTTGCTAACACATCAGCGCCTCTTAAAAGAAAGGTATTATTCGGCGTTGAGACCATTTGTCTGTTGCTTGTTGTCCATGTAAGACCTTCATTTGGCAGTCCCACAATATTTTTCGATAAAGAAAATCATGCGCTGGCAAACTCAATGTGATGTTGTCCTTGTTTTGTCCTTTATTCTTCTGCTCCTCGTGTGGCTGTATGAGCATGTTTAACTTTGGTCTCCTAATACTTTTGCTTAAGATACTTGGTATTGATGCTCGACATCAGAGTGCTGCACTTACTGGAATTAATTTGGAGTAATAGTAAACAAAATACCTCAAAACAGTCGTTAGGGATCATAATTAATATACTAATTGAAAGTTTTATATCTTTTATATGTATTACCTCAAGTTGGTCTGATATAACATACCTAGAAACTAAAAGCCCAAGAATCCAGTACTTTATTCTGCAGACCACCTTTTGAGATCATAGTGAATCATTCTTTGATTATACTTGCCTCTCTTCATTGCTTCTTCAAAAAAGCTGAAAATTAGATATTTTGTTTGAGAGTTTTTCTTCGGATTGTAATGTCATGAGTTTACTGTTGGTTACAGTAATCTCTTATGTACTGGTTCACAGGAAACCAAGTGCATCCTTGGATCTCCTAAGTCTCAAGTCAATCTTAAGATGATTTTTGGGAAAGCAACTCTGAAACACCGGCCCAGGGTCATTGGCCGCTTTGGCCTGCCAACTCCGAATATTGGCTCAAAGCAGTCATTGCTTTTAGCAGGAGTTGGCTTCTTCGGCACGTGAACCTGAAAAACCTTGGTGAACTTAGCTCTTGACTATTCTCTATCTTTATTTTTAATCTATAAATAATTTCTGAAATTATGTTCAAGTAAATCATATTTGTGGTCAATATACTAGTACTGATTGCTATAGAACATACTGAGTTGTAACTTGCATAATAGATGATCTGCTTGTTAGATTTAGGAATTTTATGAGGAGAGAACTTAGAGTTGTAAGTTTGAGGCCAAGGTGGGGCAGAATAGTGGGCAGTTGTATTATTCAGGAGCTGACATTTAGGAAACAAAAAGGGAATGAATCATCAAGAGAGAAAACTATACAGGTACAAGACTCACATTTTCTAGTTGAAATTTGTGGTTGAGTAGAGGCTTGCGCTCATTGGCCAGCTCTCTGCATCACTTGTGGAGTTAAGGACAAACTTGAAGGAATCTCAATTTTCTCTTGAAAGGCTAAATGTCAACCTGGTAATAGCCTTTAGTTCATCTGCAAATCAAATTTCTTTTGCAGTTTCAGTTGGGAGAAGCCAGACACTTTATGCTGGATACCAGTCTCTTTTGTTGCCAATTTTCCACTCATTGACTGATTGATCCTCGTTCTTGATATTCTTGAAATAAAACAATCGCAGGCGGTAGAATGACTTGAAGGAAGCCCATTGTAGTGCACAGATAGATTTGAACAACTATGGTTGCAAATTCTTGAGCATTTTAATCAGGATTTTGATTCTGACATTTGAGAGAGTTGTTGCTAGGCGGTAACTACCCATCAGATAGTATTCCATCCTTTATTTAGTGCGGCCAATTCTGGCCTTATGGTTTTTGGAAACAGTGGCTCTATCTTTGGAATTTCTATCAAGTGTTCTTGTAAGTTGTGGGACATGTATTTTTTGTAGCCATGAAATTGACATATGGGAATCTGAATGCTGAAAATTTCTTTTTCTATCCCTTAAGTTTGATAATTTCTGTGTTGACTTTACCAAAACATACAAAATACCGTCCTCAGTATGAAATGATCGCCAATTTGTTTCACCTTATGAAAAATTTTCCTGTTTATCTTTTCAAGGCTATTCATTTGCTTTCATTTCCCAACTTGATCACAGGAAGCAGCGGAGAAAATTGAAAAGGAGAATACAAATAAGAAGTCGAAGTCTGGTGGTGGAAAGAAGAAGAAATAAGTCATTTTTTTCCTTTGAAGTGCCAAATTGGTTGGTGGAGCCAGTTCTATGCTGGCAAGGTAAACTTGTTTACAACAATGAACATTAGTAATTATTTCTTTTTTGTTGCTTCTTAAATTTGTCATATCTTTGCAATGAGCAACCTCTCGGTAGAAATGTGAGTGTGCTACTGTAGAAACATCTTAAATCTATTGTTTAACTAGAATACGTATACATATCTTTGCATGATTTATTCAGAAAAGTAATTAGTATACTTAATAGCTTTAACTGGAGAGTTCAAATTGTGGGTCTATGGAAATTGGAACGTGTGTGATTTCTTTTAAGATGCTGTTTAAGTGACAATAAACTTAACTGGATAGAGTTTAGACATGATGACCGTGAAAAATTAGGATCTAAATGGATCCTGGTATACATTTCTTGGATAGCTGGTGAAATACAAATGAAAGATCAAACTATCAAGTCCAAAAATTCGTGTAATGTCATGCTTCTTGATGAAGCTTTTTGCGTCATGCCTTCTTGTCTGCACTTAATTATCATATCTGCTGTTGTGCTTTCCACTTACCATGTGAATTACACCAATCTCTTCTTTCCTTCCATGTACTCGAAAATAATATCCTTTCCTGTTAATTCCTCTCTGTGCAAGCATGCTTGGTTCAGAGCATTCTTCATCATTGGCCGATACTTGCAGTAGTCTTTGTGTTATTGCAATTTGTAGTTCAAGATATTCCACTTTAGGCTCTCATTTCTATAGGATTGGACTGAACTTATTATCATGATTTGGCCCACAATTTTTTCTGTTTTTTTTTTTGTGTTTGTGTGTGTGTGTGTTGTTGGGCCGGGGGGGGGGGTGTTGTTTGGGTGGTGTTGGAATTTTCCATTTTACTGTGATTTGGTTTCTGCAGGTGAGGAATTTCCAGATGCCGCAACAAACTTGGGATTTCCAGATGGTGCGACAAACTTGTGTTTCTTCTTGTGCTGAAAATGTCCGTCAATGAGATGTGTAATATGACTGCAGGATGATGTGTCTCTGGATTGGTAGACCATTTTGTCATCTTGGCTTTAATTCTAGTGTACAGTTGTTCACGATGTCAGAGAATTTCGTCCTCTAACTGCTAGTCCTTTTGAATATCTATTGAGAATTGAGCTCTATAAATTTTCATACCAGGAAGGCAGTTGCTGTAGCCATGTTAAAGACAAAATGATTTGCTCGCCAAAATATGCAACTCCTAGGTTACGAATGGAGAAATGGCATGGTCCTTGCACGTGGCTTCTTCGCAAGGTCAATGCGCACAAGTCCAGGAGTCTTCCAAATTTTTGTTAATTAGTAATCTAATAACACTAAGAATTTAATGCAAGTCAGGCATCGATTTGTCTGCAAAAGATTCTCTTCACTCGTACCAATTAGCTTCGTCTGTTGTTATGCACACGGGCTCCATGGGTTAAGACTGGCTAAGGCGGATAACAAAAGGAGAGCATGGCCATGGAATAGGAGAGTTAGCAATAAATTCCAGGTGCCTGCTTTTAATTTCCTTGGACTACGATCACTTCCTAATTGTCACGATCTGCGGCTCCATCACACGGAAGACAATCTGAAAGCAGTCACTCCTTAAGGTACAAGACCTTATGAGCTCCTTCAACTCAATTGTCAATCGAACCACCACGGGTACTTTGGTGGGGGGAAGTTTTAGATGAAGTTGGTAATTAGCGTATTCAACCTGGGGAAGGAGGTGAGATGATTGATGTTCATATGTCGGGTTACACTTCAGCATTTCATGAGAATGATACGTACGTACTTGCGGTAATTCTCTCTCTGGATACATATTGGCTTCTGATGCTGCTGCCATTGAACACTGATGTCTTAGGTCTAGAGTGTAGATAAGCCAGCACTTCTTTGTTCTGATCTATTGCTATCTGATACTATTTGATAAAGAGGGTGCAATTATCGGCTTTTGCCCATTAAATAGAATGAAAATATGAGTGCAGCATCTTTTGTTCATCTCCTAAAGTCCAAACCGCAAAACGATCTTCTCATGTTTTCCATTAGCAGCTGCAGCCAGTTTGAGAAAGATACTGAACAGGAGAAAATATCCATGCCAAGGACCCAATATCCTTCCTGGTGGATATTCTAAGCGGACGCCCTACTAGACGTGACCCCTGTGTCGAAGGGTCTGCCAAAGATGGAAGGCCTTATCAGTTAACATCACATTTTCTTGAGTTGCATATGAAACATACTCTTCCATCCATCATTACCCAGAACAGGTGAAGGGATGTATGCTTGGTTAACAAATGGCCGTCAGGAGTAACAAAAAAATAACCCCAAAATCCCCACTATCTACCTTCAGCACCGTAGATGCATGGATCTCCGAACACACAAACAGTTCATCATACTCAATCCTACCACCGAGGAAATAGTTGAGATACTCACCCCACTTCGAACTCGAATTTATGCAGTCTTTTCCCACCCCTCCCTATATCAACCCTTTGTGCCATATGTGGTAATATTCAAGAAGGAGCCGTGCAATTCAAGTTTCTCAATCTGGGATTAGATTCTTGCTGAAGAAAGCTTCGATCAACTCGTGCAAGTTCACACCAACCCCGGCTTAAAACTATGCTGTGAGGTGAGTCCAACTCTAATCTTCTTCTATTTAATCTCTTGGTCGATGATTGCTGAGTTGAGGCATGCCACATATTTAGATCCTAATATTAAAATTTATGTGCACCATGTTTTATACATTAAAAATAAGGGATAATTTCACAAACCTCCCCTGAAGTTTTTAATAATTATAGAGAACTCCCTTCAAATTTTAAAAATTACATATGCCTCCCCTACTTTTACTGTTTAGCAACAACTAGTTTTGTAAGCCTCGCGCAACGCGTGAGGTTGCCCCCAGCTTGTGTTGATCTAATTTAATTGATGGTAGGTAGTTTGGGGTAAAACATTTGGGTTGTCAAAATGTGGTGAACTGTGGCAGACTATCATGTGCGGTGGCAAGATTGGTTTTGTTTGTGAATGCATGGGTGCCATATATTTTTATTGAAATTGACACTTGGTAGTTTGGTTCATAGTTGTGTGACAACTATTATGTTATATGATTTTTTTGTGAATTGACGTGGAGGTTTTGTTCTATAAGAATGTGGAATGTCTTGTTAAAGGATGTGGGTGGGTGGTTGTTCATTTTCTTCTCAAGTATTTTGATGATAGGTTTTTCTAATAGTTGGTAAGAATATAACAGTATTGTAGTAGTATATTTATAAAAGAATTATTTTGATATAGGAGTTTTGGCGTAGTGGTTTGCAAGTTTATAAATTTTTTTTTTTTTTTTTTTTTTGCATTAGTATGGAGATGAATTGTGCGTCTATTAATCAATTAAATGATAATATGTATGCCTGGGTTATTCGGATTGTGGTGGTAGAAAAAAGCCTTATTCGACATGCTCATTATATGCGACGTAGATATCAGCATTATGTTTTTGCTGATAATTTGGTAAGCAAGAATTGTTTTTTTTTTTACTTTATTTTATTTGTGTTTATGTTTAAGACTTACGAAATTTTTGTTTGTAGGGTGATCGGATTCAAGCGATTGTCTATTTAAATGATGTCTATGTCTTAGACGAGTCTAGAAAGGCGGCGAGCCAGGGAATGAACCTTGCTAATAAAACTTCCATACTCTGCAACCATGGAGTAAAGGCCAATCTCGACTGTTGCAACTTTCTTTACTTTTTACTCTAGCATTTGAATTCTGAAATATGACTCAGCTTCATAATTACAAGATTCATTTCTTAATGTTTTCATTTGATTTTCTGCAACAGTTTGCTTATGATATTTGGATTGTTTCTTTCATTCTTTCGTTTTTTGGCGATACTATAGGTAACAGTTGTTTGGTCAAGGCAGTCTATATACTCGCTACATACTCCATACATATTGTGATAGCTATCAAATAAGATAGAAGATTCAGCTATGTTTAAACATTTCCATGCTAGTTAGCTTCTAGAGGACGAGGTTTCAATTGCTTACGATAAGGCACACAGTGATAAAGTAATTCTAGTGTTCCAAAAGTATTTGATCAACAAAAAAAAGTTCCTAAAAGCAATTTTTGACATAGGATGAATGTTAATCAAGAAAAACTTTGTGTTATACATTTTCAATATTTTTTGTTCTCAAAGCAATGACCAACGTGTAATCATCAATGTAGGTCAATCATAGACAGGATTTCTTTGTATACGATATTTTTTGTGGAGTTTGTGTGTTTAGAGAAAGAAGTAAGCTGTCTAATAAGTACTTTCACATTGTTTTCTATTTTTTCCCGTGATAATGCAACATATAATTGATCATGTGAAAATACAGGTTCTTTTAGATATAAGCCAATGTAATCTAACGTCTGTCTTTGTGTTTTGTTAATTGTCATTGCAAAACATAATCTTAAAGGGAATTGAATTCTTTTAAAGGGAACGGAGCAAAGTTCATCATCTGAACATTTTAAAGGAATACGAGGTATGAAAACTGACTTATCTGTAAATGAGCCAAAAGAAATATCTGCTTGAATGACATTATTTCCAAACTCTTTGCATATAAGTCACGTGCCATTTGAAAGTCCTTCACTTGGTTTTATATTTCGGATTAACATAACAGGACAGTTTTCTTTCAGTTTTAATTCATGTGGAGGCAATCCTTTTGGTGTAAGTGTGTTCAGAAAATCTTGGTTTTCTAGTTGGTGTGATGCATCAAGAGTTTCATCAAAACTTAGATATGTTTTCCGAGGACCTGGGAATTTGTCGATTAGCATATCATTGATTTCATGAACAAAATCGTTTCGTGTCATTAAGATAGCTCTATTAACAATGGAGGATGGATTATTGTTGAATGCCTCCATATCTGGGAATACCATACTCACTAAAGTCTCTACTGATGAAGCTTCATCTATAAAGGGTACATTCATTGGTGTTGGGATCTTGACTTCATTCATATGATTTGATAGCTCTGTCATTACCAATTCGAAGCAAAAAATTGCTGAAATTTTTATCGGAACAAGCTCGCATATTTCCCGTAGCTTCAGTTTTGTTAATTGTTGCCATATAGGTGACATGACTAAGCTTGCATTCATAATATCTTTCTTATAGCCTTGTGTCACAACTGGTAATGTTTGCCGAAAATCTCCTCCGAAAACCACAGTTTTACCACCAAATAACGCATCGCAACCAATGACATCTTTCATCATTTCATCAAAGCGTTCGATTGATTTTTGTTTTGCCATACTTGCTTCATTCCATATAATAAGTTGTGCATCTCTAATTAACTGTGCATTGTGCAATTGTAGTTTGCTTTCCAACGTGACAACTTTGGAATCATCATCATGTAGAGGTACCTTAAATCGCGAGTGTGTAGTACGACCTCCATGTAAAATTGAAGCTGCAACGCCTGAAGTTGCGGTTGCAAGTGCTATACCACCTGTTGATCTTATTTTAGCAAGAAGAGCTCGATACAAAAATGTTTTCCCTGTACCTCCTGGTCCATCTACAAAAAATGATGTTAAGCTACTATTTATAATGGCATTTAAGATCTGTTCATAGGCATTGCTCTGATTCTTGTTTAATTGATCAATTGCCGGAAGATCATTCTCATCTACAGGTATATTTCTCTCAGTTTCTATATCTTTTGCTACTACTTCTTGCTAAGATTGTTGGATTTGTGGTGTGTTCAACTGATAATCAGCCAAACTTTTTTCCATTGATTGTAAGTAGTTGTCAATGCATTGTAGCACTTTCACTTCTACAAGATGAATTGGGATTGAAGAATCTCGCTTTATATCTTCAGATAGAAAGTCTTGAAATTGTAGCCATAGTTGAGCAGGGTTCCTTGGACTGCAATAAACTAAGATAGCATCAAATAATTGACGCAATGAATTTGGCATTTGATATAGAACTGCTTCTGATAAACATAGCTCGCTGCATTATCTGTTTGTAATAGTCCCATCATATCCGCAGCTTCACGGAATGAAGTACAAGCATGTCCATTCATAGTTCTTAAATCTAGGAATGAAGTCGGTTTCCTTACATGCATCAATAACATTCGTAAATAATACCTTTCTCCTTCTGATAGATGCGCACCTAAAATGCGGCCAATCACTTTCCTTTGCTTACGTTCCTTCCAAATTTTTGATTGCTGGT